ACAGTGAGTAACACCACCCCCACCTCCTTCACCCCGACCAAAGGCGTCCACATGCTAATCCCTGAACCTGGGTATATGCTACCTTATATCCAAAAAGGGATTTTGCAGATGTGACTATTAAGGATCTTGAGATAGGGAGATCTTCCAAGATTTGCTGGGCGAGTCCTATTAAGAGGGAGGCAGGAGAGTTAGAGTCAGAGAATTGCTGGGCGAGTCCTATTAAGAGGGAGGCAGGAGAGTCAGAGTCAGAGTCAGAGAGAGGAGACACAAGGATGGAAGCAGAGGACAGAGAGGAGAGATGCTGTACTGCTGACTTTAAATGTGGAGGAAGGGGCCACGTGCCAGAGAATGCAGGCAGCCCCTAGAATCTGGAAAAGGCAAGAAAATGGGTTCTCCTCTAGAGCTCCCATTGCCAACACCTTGATTTCAGCCCAGTGAGAAATGGTTTGAGTTTCTGGTCTCCAGAACCATTAAGATAATGCAGACATTATAAGCTAAGCCACTGTTTGTGCTCATTTGTTACAGCAGCAGCAGGGTTAGCAATAGGTCGCTGAGGACTGTGACCATCTACAAATATCATGTTAGGACCTTACCAAGTGTCTTGCACAGAGAACTCAAACAAATGTTTCCACAATCCTCTGCCTCTCATAAATAGAAACCTAAGACATTGAAAGACAGCATCTGGGACTTAAAATACGGTTTGATCTGCAGGACTGGGGCAGGATCATTGTTTGATTTAAAAATGCATTGCCAGTTTTTTGCCCCTGCTCTCATTTATACCAACAAATCATTAGAAGCAGGGCAGAAGTGGACATTTTCTTGGGTGTGAAACCCAACCTTTGTTATTTAAGATTTGTTTTTACCCACTACACTTCAAAGAAAATAATTCCATTTTATGGCTCCATCCTTGAAGCATTTTCTTCCTTTCTTTTAAGAAGAAGATTGTACAGTAGTCCTACCTGTTTTCTTTTTGAGGCCAAATGAAACTAGATTTGACAGAACAAGTCTACATATTGTCATAGGAGTCTTTCCCCCTTTATCAAACATGAGTTTAATTATTAAAAAACCCATTTTCTGTCCCACATCCTGGGAACATCCTTAAGACAGAGGGACTAAAATCTTGACCCGCTCAGGGAAAGAAAGCCAGGAATTGTTATGGCATATCAGCATGATGTAGTGGAAGAGTCACAGCCCAGGAATCAGGAGACATGGCCCCTCAGCTCCCACTGTGGGAGTGGAGTCTCTGGGTGCCAGGTCCGGCAGCTTGTTCGCACCCTCTTTCCTCTCCCGCCACGTGTAAAATGAGGGGCTGAGACAGAGACTCATAGGTATGCTGTCTCACACATGCTGTCTCACACATGCTGTGGGGATCTCGTCAAAGCAGGTGGCCTGACTTCCGGTGTTCTAACCAGCCCCCGGGGAGGCTGAAGATGCTCTCCCTCAAACCACGCTCGATTCGCCTGGATATACAAGGCTCCAAGAACAGCCCATATCTGAAATGTTTTGTGTTTCATTAACTCATGTGTGTGTACAGAGTACTATCATTATTCACATTTCTAAAAAAACATTTTAGATGGTTCAAAAGGACCCATATTGTTCAAGGTTTAAGTTAATTAGGGATTGGGATCATTATGTAGGATTGCAGATCACTCCAAACAAATAAACACACACCTTTTTCTCCAGCCCCGTGGTTGGCAAACCTCACCTCGCGAGCCACATGCGGCTCTTTGGCCCCTTGAGTGTGGCTCTTCCACAAAATACCATGTGCAGGCGCGCACGTACTGTGTGACTGAAACTTCATGGCCCATGTGCAGAAGTCGGTATTTTGTGGAAGAGTCACACTCAAGGGGCTAAGGAGCCGCATGTGGCTCACGAGCCGCGGTTTGCCGACCACTGCCCTAGCCCATGAGATCTAGCCCTGGCTACACATTAGTATCACCTGGCATGATTTCAAAAACCACCAATGCCTGCTCACCCACCCACACTGGCCAGAATGCACTTCAAGGTCTGGGAAGGGCCCTGTCACCTGGTATTTTATAAAAGCTTCCCCTGTGACTCTGATGTGCAGCCAAGGTGGGGAACCACAGCGATGACACTCCAGGTACCACCAAGTTGTTTTTCATGCTACCCACAGCTGTTATTCATTAACTCAGTGCACTCTTGCGGAAAGCTTAGTTAGATTATACAACTCACATAAACAGGAACTTGTAATTCAATAAGCGTTCTCAGCAAGGCCGACGATACAGAGAAACCCTAGCTTTGTTTGGTCCCGTGTAGCAAAAATAAAGACAGTTATCAAATTATAATGCACACTGTGCTCTGGGGAGCACACTGGCTTTAAGGGAGACGTGGTCCATTTTCTCCTTTGTAAGGCTCAGGTTCAGCCAGCAAAGTCTTACAAAGTCGGCAGAGGCAGTAAAAGTTCCTGGAGGTTCAAATGTCAATAGAGCAATCCCTCCTTGGGAACGAGTGTCTCCAAACCGGTTAAGACAGTGGTTCTCAACCTTCTGGCCCTTTAAATACAGTTCCTCATGTTGTGACCCAACCATAAAATTATTTTCGTTGCTACTTCATAACTGTAATGTTGCCACTGTTATGAACTGTAATGTAAATATCTGATATGCAGGATGGTCTTAGGCGACCCCTGTGAAAGGGTCGTTCGACTGCCAAAGGGGTCGCGACCCACAGGTTGAGAACCACTGGGTTAAGAAGCCAGGTTCGGGTTGGAATCCTGGCTGCAACATTTTCTAGCTATAGAACTGTGGGCAATTTCCTTAACACCTGAGTTTCCTTATTGATAAAATGGGATGGGGATTAGGCTTTGAAGGTTAAAATGAGTTAATGTGTGTAAAGTGCTTTTTGTACGATGCTTGGTATAAAGTAATTGTTATTATCATCTACCCCATGAGGTTAGAAGTGGAATATGACTATTTCCCCCCTTAACATTACACTTTAGCATTGCCTCACTGAAACCATAGCATATGGGTACTTGTTTAGAGAATGATGACAAGAGGTGTGTGGCTTCTGGCGGGGCTGGGGCAGTCATAAAGCCAGAAAAGTAAACTGAACTTGGTTTGTAGCAGATCTTATAAGGAAGGCCAAAAAGTCTAGATTCATCCTGTTGGCAGTAGAATGCCATTTGAGATTTTTGAGCCAGAGAATGACGTGAAATCCAACCAGTGCAGAGTTCACGTACCTCCCGTCTTCTCAGGCTGCCCGAGGTTCTCTGCCCTACTTCTCCAAGCGATACTGTCACGGGATCTGCACTGCAACTTGTGGTTTCCTGAAGCAAAGAAGGGTTCTCAAACCACTGAGATTTCCATTTCTGCCCCAGGGGGATGACAGTTGAACCAAACTGAATCACCGATGTACATTCTGACAGCTACCAGCCAGCTAATTTTATTAGCTGGAGTCATTTTATTTTTCTCTTAAACCTAAGACAGATATTTGTATCATCGAAGGCACTTTGGAGACCGACATCCCGGTCCCCTAGCAAGTCCAAATCCAAGTAAAAGAGCAAGGTAACCGGGAATAATGCCATGGATCGGCCAGAGGTAGCTGAGGTCCCCCAGATACTACAGGAATTTCATGTCATTGAGAGAAATTGGCAGCTTGCTCTCAAGTAGCTTGTAGGTTTAGCATCGAAGAATTTGTAACTGAGACTTAAGGGTTTGCCAGATATGATGCAGAATGTGAAAATTTTACAGGCTGAGAATTTTGCCCAAATCATCTCCTATATGTTAAAGCCAGAGCATGTAAAATTAGGTAGCCTGACTCCAGGCTCCCACTTAAGAAAAAGACAAAACACTCAAATAAGATAAATATATTCCTTCCAACTCATGAGTGGGGGTATCTGGGAAGTGGAGTTGAAGTGATGTAAGTTCTAAACCTGGTTCTCCTCCAATTTGGGGAGAATCATGTGGCACTTAAGTCTCTGTTCTCCCAAAATAAATGGTAATAAATTCTTAAGCACCCAGATGTGCAAAAGTTCAACAAATGTAGTCCTAGCTGGTTTTGCTCAGTGGATAGAGCGTTGGCCTGCGGACTGAAGTGTCCCGGGTTCAATTCCCATCAAGGACACATGCCCAGGTTTTGGGCTTGATCCCCAGTGGGGATCGTGCAGGAGGCAGCTGTTCAATGATTCTCTTAGAGATAGAGAGTTAGAAACATCGATGAGAGAGAAACATCGATCAGCTGCCTCCTGCACATCTCCTACTGGGGATGTGCCCGCAACCAAGGTACATGCCCTTGACCGGAATCGAACCTGGGACCCTTCAGTCCGCAGGCCGATGCTCTATCCACTGAGCCAAACCGGTTAGGGCTCAGTGATTCTCTTTTATCATTGATGTTTCCATCTCTCTTTCCCTCTCCCTTCCTCTCTGAAATCAATAAAAATATATTTTTTTAAAAAAAAGTTCAACAAATGCTAACTAGTCCTTAAAATGCTAGCCCCTGTATTTTATTCTGTAAATCTTCTCTTTTATCATTGATGTTTCCATCTCTCTTTCCCTCTCCCTTCCTCTCTGAAATCAATAAAAATATATTTTAAAAAAAAAGTTCAACAAATGCTAACTAGTGCTTAAAATGCTAGCCCCTGTCTTTTATTCTGTAAATCCTCACCATAACCCTATTGACTAGGTTACATCATTTAACCCCACTTATCAGATAAGGATACTGAAGCACAGAGAGCTTAAGAAACTTGCTCAAAGCCACAAGCTAGCAAGTGGCAGAGCCAGGATTCCAACACAGCATTGAGAGTCTGTGCGGGTGCAATAAAATGCAGTCACTGCCTGAACAAGCTGAGAGTCTAGTGGGGAGAAATAGAGTTCATGCAGACATGCTTACAACACAGGTGCATCTGCAGGACATCAACAGGACACTAATGTTGAGGGAGAGAAAAGACATCGTTGCTAGGGTTGAAAAGGCTTCTGAGAAGAGTGGTGTTGGAATGGGGCTGAAAAAGTGAGTGCACAGGACTCTACCTGATGGAGAGAGTGAAGACGGTCTAGAGCCGTGGTTGGCCAACCGTGGCTCGCGAGCCACATGTGGCTCTTTGGCCCCTTGAGTGTGGCTCTTCCACAAAATACCACGTGCGGGCGCGCATGTCCAGTGCGATTGAAACTTTGTGGCCCATGCGCAGAATTCGGTATTTTGTGGAAGAGCCGGTATTTTGTGGAAGAGCCATACTCAAGGGGCCAAAGAGCTGCATGTGGCTCGTGAGCCGCAGTTTGCCGACCACTGCCCCAGAAGGAACACAGGTCTACTGACACCTTGATATCAGCCTGGTGAAAAAGATCTATTTTGGACTTCTGACCCCCAGATATGGAAGATGATACATTTTTTTAAATTGTTTTATTGCTTAAAGTATTACAAAGAGTATTATATATGTCTCCTTTTTTTTTCTCCCCTTGACCCTCCCCTAGCCTCCCATGCCTCCCAGTGTCTTGTGTCCATTGGTTATGCTCATATGCATGCATACAAGTCCTTTGGTTGATCTCTTACCCCCCTCACATCCCCCAACCCTCCCTAGCCTGTATTACAAAGAGTATTACATATGTCTCCTTTTTTTCCCCCTTGACCTTCCCCCGGCCTCCCCTACCCCCCAGTGTCTTGTATCCATTGGTTATGCTTATATGCATGCATACAAGTCCTTCGGTTGATCTCTTACCCTCCCCTCCCGGCCTTCCCGCTGTCGTTTGACAGTCTGTTTGATGTTGCTCTGCCTCTGTATCTATTTTTGCTCATCAGTTTATAATGGTCTTAATTATCCATAAATGAGTGAGATCATGTGGTATTTTTCTTTCATTGACTGGCTTATTTCACTTAGCATAATGATGATACATTTTTGTTGCTTTAAGACACTAAGCTTATGGTACTTTGTTCCAAAAACAATAGAAAACTATTACACTATTCTAATTTACTTAATAAAAACTACATGTTTTATAAATTTTTATTTGAGAGAGGGGGAGACAGAGGCACAGAAAGATTAAGTTGTTTGTGTGAATCTTGATTACTTAACATTGTTCTTTCTTGGGGGCTTCCTGGTTTCTCTCCTACCTGTCTCTCCACTTTTTCCTTGGGCTCCTTGCAAGTTCCTTTACGCCAGTGGTTCTCAACCTTGGCTGCACATTAGAATCACCTGGGAATCTTTTTAAAATCCTGATTTCTGGGCCTCATCCTCCAGAAATTCTGTTTCTTTGTTACTAATGTTGTGGCCCCACCCCATAACAAAGAAACAGAATTTCTGGAGGATGAGGCCCAGAAATCAGGATTTTAAAAAGATTCCCAGGTGATTCTAATGTGCAGCCAAGGTTGAGAACCACTGCTTTACACCTATCCAATGTATAAATTGGGAATTTATCCTAAATACTCTTCTTTTTTCTTTGAATTCTCTTTCCTAGCTGATCTCACCCATTCCCAGAGTTTCAAATGCTGTTTATAAACTGATTATTCCCCAAGTAATAGATCTAATAGGGACCCCCTCCTCTGAGCTCACACCAGTAAGCTTGTCCTGCCAACTTGACTTCTTTGTTTGGATAGCTTATAAACATTTCAAACCTAACACGTTCAAAACAGAATCAATTCCTACAAAACCGCTTCCCCATTCCCACAGTCTGACTTCTCTCAAGTCAAAAAGATGAATCAGGCTTCATTCCTCTCTTCCACATCGTCCACGTGCATCCCACCACCAATCCATCCATTTTTGTCTACTCTCACTACCACTAACCTGGTCCAAGTCACCACAATTTCTCACCTCAGAAACCATAGTGGCTTCCCAAGGTCTCTCTTGTTCTTCCTTGTTCCTCTTTGGATCTATTTTCCTCACCCATTGAGAGTGTCCTCTGAGCCAGTAGATCAGATCCTGTCACATCCCTGTTTAACACCTTTCAATGGCTTTCCATACTTAGAATAAGATGCAAACCCCTTCCATGTCAATAACTCCTAACCCTCCACACAGTCCAGATCCTGCCCACCTCACCAACCTCAGCAACCTCACCTGTGACCACGGGCCCTCATTTCATTCTCCTTTTTAGAACTATACCAGGCTTCTCTCAGTGCCTCAACCCCCAAAATTCCTTCCTGCCTCAATGACTTTATAGCTACAGCTTCCTTTTTGTGAGTTGGGTACACACACACACACGTTTCACCTATCTGCTACTAATTCTTCAATTTTCAGGTTAAAGATTTCCTCCTTAGAAAGGCCGAAACCAAACCATGCGATCGAAAGCATTTTTACCCTGCCACACAACCCTACTCTAATTTGATTCTTTATCCCAGCCCCTATTTGTTCTGGGATATGTTGGGTGGTGTTGTTTTTTAGCACTTATTACAACTTGCAGTTCTTTGTCATTTTGGTTACTTTACTTTTTTTTTTTTAATTTGTCTTTCTAGAACAGGGGTGGGCAAACTTTTTGACTCGAGGGCCACAATGGGTTCTTAAACTGGACCGGAGGGCCGGAACAAAAGCATGGATGGAGTGTTTGTGTGAACTAATATAAATTCAAAGTAAACAACATTACATAAAAGGGTACGGTCTTTTTTTTTTTTTTTAGTTTTATTCATTTCAAACGGGCCGGATCCGGCCCGCAGGCCGTAGTTTGCCCACGGCTGTTCTAGAATGTTAGTTCCATAAGGGCAGGGTCTGTGTCTGTCTGTCTTGGTTACCAGTGTAACTCCAGAGCACTAAGCCTGACACATAGTAGGTGCTCAATAAATATTTGTTAACTATTGAATAAATGTTATATGTAAAAAGTTAGGAAAGTTTAAAATGATACTAATACGCTATATCATTATCTAAGAATGCTATAACTACTTGAATAGTGAATTTGAATTTAAGTCAATAAATGATCAATAGCCAGTTGAATTTACATTTTATAATATTCTGTTATTCTTTTGATTGTAATTATCTATACATTAAACCAACTGTGCATTCAAAGTAAAATTTCATGTTATGACAAATTTGATTTTTTTTTTTTTTTACCTAAGGACCTTTTGTACCAATTAGCCTCTTTTAACCTTTACTTTACACTTGTGGTAAAAACCGCACGGTACAGATTCAAAGAAAGGAAATATATATTTAGCAATAGACCAGACCAGCGCACATCTTTTTCTCCCTCCCCCCAAAGTTGGAGGGCTAGATATGGTTTATAGGAAATCCCCAATGAGAAATAAAAATAGGACATAAATAACTCAAACTATGCATAGCAAATGGCTAATGCTTCTCAACTAGCTATCTGGAGATGAGGAACAAGTGATAAAATATAGTAGGAGGAAGCAAATGAAATAATAATGTTGATGTATTTTACCTTAAATAAGGCAATGTTTGAATTATTATAGTCAGAAAGGAGTCTACTTCTTTGAAAAATACCTGTAGAATAAGAAATACCTTTGTTCTTCATCCTTCATTCATGCAACATCCACCAAGTCCCCCAAAATGAAGAAATGGAGATCTGAGATCTGTAAGTTTGAGAGATAATGTTCAAGTCAATCAGTACACTTTTATTTTGAGGCTATGGCATGCTAGGTATTTTTGAAAACAGCAAGATAAACGAATCACAAAATCTGATTTTAGATAGGCCACAATCCAGTTGGGAAACAAGGCAAATATGTGAACAGTCCAGCAACACATCAGGACCAAAGATTCTACAAGGAAGAGCAAACTAACTGACCACACATGTGCCCTCAGGAGGCAGACACGGTGTCACGTTCTGGCTCTGACCCTGCACTGGCTGCACAACTTCTGTCAGCTACACAACCACAGAGCCTCTGTCCCTCCTCTGTCAGAAGAGGATGATAGAAGCATGACCATGCCTCCTGGGGCCATGAGGAGATTAAATGAGAGCATCTAGATCAGTGGTTCTCAACCTTGGCTGCACATTAGAATCACCGGGGAATCATTTTTTTTAATATATATTTTATTGATTTTTTACAGAGAGGAAGGGAGAGGGATAGAGAGTTAGAAGCATCGATGAGAGAGAAACATCGATCAGCCGCCTCCTGTACACCCCCTACTGGGGATGTGCCTGCAACCAAGGTACATGCCTTTGACCGGAATCGAACCTGGGACCCTTCAGTCCACAGGCCGACGCTCTATCCACTGAGCCAAACCACTCAGGGCCACCTGGGAATCTTTTTAAAATCCTGATTTTGGAGCCTCATCCTCCGGAAATTCTGTTTCTTTGTTACGAACGTTGTGGCCCCACCCCATAACAAAGAAACAGAATTTCTGGAGGATGAGGCCCAGAAATCAGGATTTTAAAAAGATTCCCAGGTGATTCTAATGTGCAGCCAAGGTTGAGAACCACTGATCTATATAGAGTGCTTTGCACTGAGCATGCACAAAGTAAGCGTTCAGTAACATTTGATATTGTTAAGTTTTAAATGAGTGGACATGAAGAAAAGCCTTTGTTGGGAAATAGTATTAACAAACTGGTATTTGTTGTAAAGAATTTATCATAAACTTAACATCATTGGAACAAATCCCACTGTAATTTGTGCCAGAAGTTTATGACTTTGAGGTGGAACGTTTTGAAGTTAGAACACTCTTTTCTTCTTGAGATGCCTTTCTTTTTGTTGTTGTTGTTGATTCTCACCCAAGGATATTTTTTCCATTGATTTTTAGAGAGAGTGGAAGGGAGGGGTAGAGACAGATAGAAACATCGCGAGAGAGACACATCGATTGGTTGCCTCCCACATGCACTCTGACTAGGGCCGGGGATCAAGTCTGCAACCAAGTACATGCCCTTGACCGGAATTGAACCCTCATCCTTTTAGTCCATGGGCCAATGCTCTAACCACTGAACAAAACTGGCTAGGGTATGAGATACCAAGAGGTAGAGGGATCTTACTTATGATCACATGGCCTAATATAAAAATGTAACTATTCAACAAAAACTTATATTAAAGGACACAAACTATCACATATAGTCACCACCCTTTAAAAAGGCACATATATGTGCCTATATGTATATATGTGTATATGTGAAGTGGGCAGGTGACTTTAAGAAAGTTTCAGTTTCCACTTCTGAAAAGTAGGCCTGCATGTTTTGTCTAACATGTTCAGGGTTCATTTCCAACCTTTCCAAACCCTCCCT